ACTCTGCCGCAATCAATTTTAGCCGAAAGATTTTTGCTTGACCCATTTATGCACAGAATTACATCAGAACACCTGGGTAACGGTCTCTATGGAAACGTAAAGATGGAATTAATTGTATTTATCGTCCCTGTGATGTGTTTAAAGTGGCCTGATGGAGAGAGCGAGATGAAAGACTGTGCCTGTCCTTGGTGCTAAAAGTCTGGCTTTATTGAATTCTCGTTCGAGTCGGTAACGTTATTAACACTACAAGCGCGGCTAGGACAGCTGCACCAAGGAACGCTACAAACGATACAAACAACAAGGTTTACTAACGTTTGTTGTTTGAAGAGTTCATGAAAAGTAAAAAAAAGAAAGATATGGTGCAATATTATATACTTGGTACTTTAATCCACCGGTGATTAGAATTTCATCTTTTGATCTTCTTTTATCATAAGTATATTATTCGGGTGTAGTATCTCTAATCAACAGTACTAATTTCATACAAATATAGGATTTCGTGTATGTCAATAAACTCACTGTTAAAGCACATATAATGGTTCAATTATAAAGCAAAAAAAATGCGTGTCCCAAACTGAAAAATGCGTGTCCCAAACTGATGACATCTTGTTTTCAGTTGGTATAATATGAATTGATGAAATCGATACAATATCACACCCTCACAAATCCCTCAAAAATTGAGTCTAATCTCTCGAAAGCCGGGAACTCAAATCCCTAATCTTCTTTGACCCATCGAAATCGCCGTAAACTCAACAGCTATTGACTCATACTACTGCCAACATTATACCAACCTCCACTGTCAAACGGTTATATAGCCCCATTCTAATAATTGCTTACAACCCCAATAAGTTATTTTCTTGATATACGCTTTTAGAATTGTTTTATTTAGAATTTCTGGCTGTTTACAAAGGACAATGTAATGTGGCAGCGTGTTTTACCATATTTGGTATGTGTTACCATATTTGGCGTGTGTTACCAAATTTGGCATGGAGACAAGAGTCTGTAGGTATTTGAAGGTGTGGCTCTGGTTGCAGGCGTGGTGGTTGCTGATTGGCTGTTGAGATAATGGGGTTATTAGCCTGGACACATGCACCTGGTGTGTAATACTAATAAGAGGAACAATATAATTGTCTTTTACAAGTATTGGCCTGGCGAAAACATGTCACATAATCTACAAGAGATCTTTCACATGCGCATTCAGAACTGGGAAGCTGCTGAAAAATACCCTTTCCATGAGCAAAGAGGCAGTACAGGCCCGGGGTCTATTGATATTGGCCACACATGTATCCCATATAACCAAACTTGAGTCTACCCACGTCCGCTTTCACCCTAACGGTGCATTAACGGCCTCCCCCCGTAAATCCACAGCTCATCATTGCTACAGTCTTAAAAGCTATCACCATAGATATACTCGTGACGACAAAGGGCATGGACGGCCTCATCCGTCCAATCGCCACGTTGTTAACAACCCAATACACCAGGAATCACTGCGCGAGCAAGTCGGTGATTTCAAAGTTAGGGATATCCTTCATTTCTGAGGTTAATCTCTATTTGTCACCCCTATCTAGGTGGTAATGATGGCGTCTTGCCGGAACCGTGCGCACAATACTCAATAACGGGGGATCTCTGTTACGACGGGGCGTGCGGGGGAAATTTGATGAACTGCCCAAAACGCTACAGAACGCGAGGAATAATTCTAAATTTTACTGTGGGGTAATGAACAATATTGATAACGACGTGACGAGATTTTAAAGAGGGTTGGTGAAGTATTTATCAGTATTTGAGGAGAGGTGTATGAGAATGCAGGCAGGTAAGATTATTCGGTGAGCGGCGTGAACTTCAGAAGGGTCGGAACTATAACATGCCTGGTCACGACATGGGAGACAGGAGTAGAGTCAGGAGAGAGATGAGATATTGAATATAGGGTAAAGGTGAAGTTACACAATAACCGTCAAACAGACGTCGGAGAAGGCATCACTAGAATACATATGGCTTTCCAAGGCAAAAAAAGGAAACAATGTTACAAGTAAAAATTTATCGTTCGGTAAATAACATGAATGAAAATAAAAAGCTGAAGACAAGTCAGTAGCTGAAGAAAGATGGTGGGTGCCGTCTGCATGCTTCTACGCTTTACAGAATAACCATTAAATTTAATCATTTCTTCACGTCAGTACTTGCCTACAGACTAGATGTCAGAAAGATCAATCCACTACTTCTCTGGTTATACTGTTCACAAATATATACACATACAGACAGCCAAACATACAGCTTACAAAACATAACCTTCTCTGCGAGGTAATGATATGTACAGCTAACTTGAAATACCACTCATAGCCTTAGGTAACGGCCTCCGTAAGTAATACGTTGTAATTAAATATAGACGCCCTATCATGATCGAAATGAAGCAAAATAAAGTTTTATTTCACTCATTTATTCACAAAATTAAATCAGCACACTCGGGACCAGTTACCATGGTAACAGTAACATCAAACGAAACTTTATTTATCAGCTTTAAATGATATGGTTAAGAAAGAGAATAGATGTTAATGCTCTTGTGAAAAGCAGTTTTATGAAGACCCATGAGACTCGTTAACGATATGAACGCTAGACGTATCCGTTGTTTGTAGATGAAACCCGGGCTCGATCTTTGAACCTTCAGGGTAACCGGGCTAAACGAATGCCTTATTCAATGTGCGTGAGAAGCCGAGGAATTTCAGGTAATTAAAACAAATAACTTGACCTTCAAGTCGGACAGTTGCGAGGAAAAAAGACGAGTTATGATAACTGTTATGGTAGAATTTTAATTTTAATCTTTATTTTTCAATTAAGTATGACATCGTAATGTCTGAATTGCATTGATACAGTATTCAAAATCCATACAACTAACAATTATCACATTTGAATATTGGGTGTTACACAGCAACAATGTTTTCAGATAAGATAATATTCTTAGAACAGAACATTGTGAATAGAATAAGGGGTGATATAACAGTCTTGAACGTCAGTGTGGCAAATGAAGCTACTTGAGGTACCTGCGGCTTCGTGATATTACTTATCTATCGTCGTCGCCTCTCGGCTCATCCTCAAGAGACCAATGCCTGCTGATGTTGCTCCAGTTTTCCTATAGAAACAACATTCATCAACACGAGCTCTGTTTTAAAGGCACTCAGTGTAAGAGTACAGGACGACGTTCTAAGACAATCTTCTGGTTATGCTACATGGTTAGTTACATAGTTCAGTACTAGTCTACCGCATGGCATAACGCAACAATAGTTAAAAGGGTACTGAAAATGTGACACGCTAGTATTTGCATCATATAGCAGCTACCTTATTGGTGGTGTTCTTTTATAATCAGCTAGCATGTATTTATAGGTACTACCAAAAACCTATAGGCATATTTCAGCACATTTGTAACATTATTTTGTGTACCTAGTACCTTCTTACCTAGTCCCTCGACCTGACCTCGTCGTGGGGGGGGGGGCATAGATTTCATGTGTTCTGCTTTTACAAAACACAGCAAATATAACCTGCATCATAAATGCCTGATTTTCATTACCCAGAATATTTTCAGTTTAGTGCTTGCTAATGTTCAGGTCACAGTTACACCGGTACGGGGTGTAACCCCGGCCGGGCTCTGATGTCGTCAGGACACCGGCTATATCGTGGTCGACGTCATAATGAAGACCCCTCTACCTAACAGTAGTAGTAGTAGTAAGTAGTAAGCCTTTATTTAAACTCGAAAGCTTGTTCGGTTACAAATGACCGCTTTTCAACAAGGTCGAGGGTGAGGGCGGGGTCACGGATTACAAATCAAACCAAAATATAATACAAAATCAAAACAAAGTGCAAATCAAAATATAATACAAAAATAAATAATAAATCATCAGTCCGTTATCAGTCCAAGTTCCTTATCATACTTCTAAATGTTCCCAATGACTGGGCTGCTCGTACATGTGGTGGCAAGGAGTTCCACACAGTCGCCCCCGAGTACCTCAGTGACCGCCTGTACACTTCCAGTTGGGGCCTCGGTATGATGAGGTTGTCCAATGTGCTCTGTCTGGTGGATCTGGAGGCTGCGTCTCTATACCGGATGAACACCCCTTGCATATATGGTGGCGCAACATTCTTGTTGTGTTCTGGTGGGCACACGGGAAATTCAGTTCTGTGCTTCGATGTTGAAAACTTGGCCCGGCGGACTGCCGGTGTTATCGCCAGTGGTTTACGGTGTATTTTTGTCGCCGGGACCAGGGTTGATTTAATCTACCAGTTAGAAACAATCCAGGGCCCCCGGCCTTTACCAAAAATAGTCCGGCAGCCGCAGGGGCAGGTGTGAAATCCACCTCTCTCAGTCTCTGTCATGAAGAGACGAGGAGGACTTTGCTGATGGATCTACGTACATACCTGCATTATAAGTCTGTATCATGTGCATGCAATACAGAAAACCCTCAGGCAAAAACATCATCCTAGAATAGCACACAGCCGAAGTTTTCACCCTGCACAAAGCGTTGCTGGTTGCTGCCCTGGCGTTATGTTGATAAGGGAGTCATATGAACTGTTGTACATGTAGGTTCTGTGAGGTTATTAAGGGAAGGGAGAACGCCCGCGTGTATCTAGAGTTGCACGATCTCATACCTCCGCCAAATGGTGTACGCATTTACGGTTTCTGATCTATTACGTCCTAATTTGCATTGCAGTTGAGCATATTTCTCCACCCAAATGACAGCAGCCCTTCAATGACAGTCTTATCGTAACAGGCTTACTACAGTATGTCCCTATCAATCATGCAAATACAACGAACTGTAGACTCATTGCATTCACGGCAGAAAGCTATACCGTCTTCGCATATAAAAATACCCCCACTTGTCTAAACGATTCTGTAAAGTACAGACGGTAAAGTACTATAAGGAAAGTAATTGAAGCAAGTGTAAAACTCAGTAGGTCTTTCAGAACGTCTAAATTTTACTCATAAAAAGAGCCTAAATGGACACTGGGATCTTCTGTTTCTGTATCATTTATTAGCCTATGGGTCTCGATTAGCTCTTCGAATCTCTAAACAATTTGTTTAAAGCTATCTAATGTTAATGGCCCTACTGTACCTGGTGACAGGGAGTTCCGCTCTCCGATAATTCTAGGAAAGAATTAGTTTTTTGAACACATCAATCCTTGGTTGACAACTCTGGTACTGGAAGGCGCATTGAACTTGGAACTGCGTGAGGTCTTAGTCAACAATTCACCCCATGCCTGCCACCCCACACCACGCAGAGGCGAGTAAGATGTACGCACGCCAAGAGTGCAGCTCTATTTAATGGCCTGATGGTAGCAATCTGTAAAAAGTCGATTTGTTCGTCCTCTGGAAACGCATTTAGCCCTTCGCAGGCGATGCATATTAGCCGCTTGGCTGAGCAGAATGAAGGGCCTGCGGCTAGTGTGTGTGTATTCAGACGGCGTGGTGTGAGCGGTGGCTCCCCGCCGTTAGAATCTTAACTTCAAACGGACGGACGGAGGAAGCCTCCAGGCTTCCAATATAGCTTTCATTCCAGACAAACCGAGAGCATTCATCACATGGTGCTCGGCTCAGGAAATATCTATTAGCAACACTTGTCAGGCTAATAACAGACATCGTTTACTATATTTTGGAGTTTTCTCTCTCTCTAGAATCTCATAGAAATCTTAACTTCAAACGGACGGACTCCAGGCTTCCAATATAGCTTTCATTCCAGACAAACCGAGAGCATTCATTACACGGTGCTCGGCTCAGGAAATATCTATTAGCAACACCTGTCGGGCTAATATTAGGTATCGTTTACTACATTTCGGAGTTACATACACAATACACACATACATGTATGAGCAAAGGAATAGATAATAGACTGGGACATATCGGTACATCAGATGTACGACTAGTTTTCATGTCTTTGTAATTTTTTGCATCATAATTTTAAATATATTACAGCTCAAATGGAGCCGACATGTGCATTACAACTAATGATTTTCTTTAGTCCACGAAACCCTTGAGGGTAGCATATATATGTCACCAATTGCAAGGACATCAAACAAAAGTTTGCGAAAGTGTACGACGCCCCTTAACAAGTAGAGTGGAAAACCCCTCCAACTTTCTTGCCGGCGGCCGCCATCTTGTTGTACTCGTCCACTGCCCTCTCCGTCTGTAACACCACACACTCCACACCCTGGCTCTGGACATGGTCGATCGTTCTCTGAGGAACCTTTTGAAGGAAGAACAAATCAAGACATTGAAGCTAGGTACAGAAACGATGACGCAGTTGGAATAGAACATCTTTTGGGAAGCATTGCAAACAGATATCATATCATACTTCGAAATTCTGCAACATGTGTGGCATCCTACACCCATATTTTCTAATATTGGTTACCATTCACTGACCTTATGTTAACTTTATATATACCTTCGCAAAAGGAAAACATATTGTTTTTGCTCAGTTTCTTCTTCTTCCTCGTTGCAGGCAAATAAAGTCAATGACCAGACGTCTGTCACCAAGGTAACGGGTGCTGTAGCAGACACCCTATGGTGTTGAGTTACATTGTGTAGCAGAACAGAGTTGGAGAGGATGCTCACCATACATATGAATGTATTTGACTTTGAGTAAGAATAAACAGAGCAGTACTAGTTTGTTGGGCTAGACCAGGTGAAGTTAACATTATGCATCTGCATCGTTGTAAGTGCCACCTTTGTAGTTCAATATGACAATAATAAACCATAGCAACACTACAACTGTTAAGTTAGAAATTTCATAGTAGGATCATTCCATTCGGCATTCATACTGCTCCTTCAACCTTCCGACTCATGGTTGTTAAATATCTTACCTTACACTTTGAGGTACAAAAGTCAGCGGGAACTTTTGCACATCAGTACTAAACTGGTGGAATAGTTGGACAGTACAGACCTGGAGAACTTCATTCATCCCCCGTCCGATGACTAAAGTATTCACGCCTTTCCTTAGAACCTCCTCCAGATCAGCCGGCTGAACTCCCGGTCTGTGCTGTATGATTACATAATATTTTCCACAATTGAACTTCACCGCCTTATGGTATTTCTACGTGTGCTTTTTTCTTCTTATATCAATCTTTGTTCACAAATTACATATGCAAATTTAGAGTTATGAATTCTCTCTGACATCTGCGTTGTGATATTAGCAGAACTGGGAATGGTCGACATTTTGTGGTAGAATGTTCGAGGTATATGCAGGTTATAGGCAAACTATGTTTCCACACTTTGTACATGTACACTTGTGTTATATGGGCGAATTTACCATTCGTTTGCTATCAGAAAAAACTATATGTTCTCATATTTACCACATTTCAATGTAGTTTAATGTAGATTCATTACTCTTATTAGTTGTATATTTCTAAACACTTCTTTTTGGGACCTCAGTTAGGTCAACGGGGAAGAAGTGTACAACAAAGGTCTTCATTTATTCATCTAATACCCATACGTTTCGCTCAAAAAAATCGTGAAAGCTGCCGAGTTTTATCAAGGATATAACGTCCTTGGAAGTACGCAGTCATCTGTACGGTGCCCGACTACAAACCGTCATTTCCAGCCGCCCTGAGAAGTAATTTCCCCCGCGAAAGCTTGCCGAAGGACCAGGTGTTTAACCTGTGTGCCCAGGAGTCGGCAGGCAGGGGAGTTAGGCTGACCCAGGGGCACACATACACACGTGACGTGTGAACTAGTGAACGAGCTTGAAATATTTAGTAGCTTCCCCCCCCCCCAAAAAAAAATCCGACTGTTCTTAAAAATATAAGAACAAGAGAATAAAGCAAAATACATGTTGATTTGATTATATGTATGACATCCACCAGCATGAATTTTCGTCCGTTTCCAAAACAAAACAAAAACATACTGTAAATCGTACAAAGCAGCTGCAAATTAGAAAATATGTACGCAGCAAACTGAAAAAAAATATTGGAAATCGATACTAATGTTGTACAGTGCCAATCAATTCCAAAGGAAAGATGAAAACGCGAACAATTGAAAATGAAGTCTGTTGTTCACCAACCCCATAGTGTTTAGTTATGTTATATGACCACGTAGATTTCATAATGAAGGCATTTTTACTAATCCTTTTAATTCGCACGCTCGCATCAGTTTTGGGGTTCCCAGATAATGCCATCCATATAATCTAATCAGCATGGCCAAACCGTAAAAAAAACAGTTGATCATTCTATTTTTGATCTTCTTACATTGCATGATATTTTTGTAACCTCTCCGGGCTGTGTGCTAATGATAGTATATTGTAAAATGGAACGCGTGAAACCGATAAAGACAGTTGAAACAAATTCGTTCACGAGTTCTTGATTTAAAACTCGGCTGCATACGACAGATCTCGTGGGGAATTTATAGTTCCTTAGAAGCAGGTTTTTAGAACTCGGCACCCGTTTGAAGTTTCCACAAATTGGCCCCACAAGAAATTAATTCCCTTTGCCAATGATGCATTACGAAAGAGTACTGCTGCTTAGCAAGTACCTAGTTGGATACAAAACTTGGATATTTTTTTATATCTGCAGAAACTTTCCTCATTACTTATGTAAATTAGGTAACGATTTGCCGCATATTATCTGCCTACCATGCATTATGACAGTCGTGAACACTTTTTGAAGTAATCACCTTCCAAAGTCTCAAATAAAATCGGTCCCTGCAGTTCAACAAAAGCTAATTGTCAAGAACTTGTACGTTTCCTTTTCAGTGGATTGTCGTATGGATTCACAAATTTAGCACATTATATACATGATTCACTTTGACAGTCACTGATTGGTCCGCACATTAGTCACGTGGTACGTACGTCAGTGCCGGTTTCCCGCCAGTCCCAGGCACGGCTGCCGCCCGGCCACACCTTACAGTCCTTGTACCTCCCGCCACCCTCCACACGCATCGACCCCCACGACAGGCTGGCGATCTTCGGGGACGTCATAACTACAAAACAAACAAACTAACTAACAAACATAGAATCAGTTGCAGATGCGGGAGACTAGTGTAAACCCTGATTTTTTTTAATGGTACCGTTTTCATGGTCATTTCTCTACCGTGAACTTATCATTACCGCTATCAATCTTTTGTGTTTCATCATCTACTTTGCACCACCGTGAAGATTAAGTTCTGTGAACATGTCCATTTTCCTCAGACCGTGAAACATTGTAACGAAGTACATGTAGTATTGAAATGAAAACAATATAGACCAATGAGTATTGAAATGAAGTGAATTTGAATTACAGTATGTTAAAGTAACAACAGTATCAGAGTCGCCTTGATGTAAGTTTGACAAACAACATGGCGGACATGACAGTCGATGATCAGATGCAATCTTATTGGCCTACTTAAATTGTGATTGACAGCTAGCCAAGACCGGCCTCTGGTTGGCCCCCCAGAGTTGCCCTGGTGTAGCGCTGAAGTGTACGGGACTACAGTGCCTCGGCCATGTCGGCATCTTCACTCTACGTTCGACCACTTAACCTTGGATCCCGAATATAAACCTCCCTACAGTACATTATCTTCTGGTATGATCTAGCTCAGATCAAGGAGGTTCTTTTGAACCTTGCGCATGCCTCCTTGCTCAGAAAATATACAGACACGTTGGCAAAAAGCCGACTAGGGGAGCCTATTAGTAAAGGCTTATTAAAGTTTGTATCTCCCAAAAAAGCTTGGCTGCATGCGATATACTTCACTTAAAGGGAACGTACCCACACTCGTTAATATTGTTAATGGCATCACTGGTTAAAAGATGGCCATATCAGGAATATTCATCATACCCCCCGATGCCAACGTAGCTGAAACGCCACCTATCGACCACGCCCATTATAACAACTTGTATTATGCCTAGACAGGGCCTGGTGAAAGTTACATTGTGGCTACGTTTATATTGGACCTGTTCCAAGCCTTAAATCCCTTTCATATCAAATATTTGACACAGTTATAGTCCACACAAGTAAACATTTATAATGATCTCAAATCGTACAAGTAGTTGGTCTCTCCCGAGAGACCAAATTTTGAAATGATTCAGTTAAGTTGTATTGAATTGCCTGGCATTGTGGCAACTTTGTAGGCTATTGCACAAACTACCCGTGGTCATAGAGGGCTGAAAATAGCAGCACCCCGCATTCTCAACATTGCAAACTGACTCTTTGGCAGCAGCGAATGGCGTGTCGGACTACCCACCCTGTATTGTGTATTGTCAACTGTGTATGAAATTTTCAACTTATTTTTTTAGTGGGAGTCGCCTGAACGGTCCCTTGGTTACACTTTCAGGTTACGGATCAGAGACACCTCACGGGGGACTGTTCATTAATGCCTGAACGCTGGCATGTAGCATAAGCTATCAAATGTTGTTGCTGTAGCAGAATACTTAGTGTAAACGTCTTAACGTAACGTTACGACAGCAAACAAACGAAATCTGGCCCCCTCCCTTCCGTTCAGCTCATAATTTGCGTAAAATGTTTATTTTGTAAAATGGATGTCATCGTTGTGATGGTAAACAAACTGTCAAGAAAAATGTTCTTGCCCATGTTTTCAGTTCAAGATCATAATTTCCACGTTCCTTACCTTAGAGGGGCCGAGACTCACAGCCGTAAGCTAGCTGCAAGCAGCTACGACTGGGCATGGGATAAACAACGCCGCTGACCTCTGACCTTCACGTTGGCGCTTCCCACTCGCCCAAAGGGGTGCACAACAGGATAAAAACCTGAAGTGTCTTTCCTTCCGTGTGACGCGGTGTGTTACTGATTGGCTCTCATCATATTCATGTTTGTCAAAATGTAGTTGAGTCCTATAGAACCATTTAAGAACCAAAGGCTACAAGCCCGTCATCTTCGTTTTGATAGCGTCGTGGATATGTTTTTTTTTTAACACGGACAACTCTAGAATATAGTACATACCTTAGCAGACACTGAACGAAATTGTCTTCCTGGATGCCATCCGATTTGTAACGGCAACCCCGAGAAAAAGATTTCTTTCGGGGTTGCCGTTACAAGTTGCATGGATGGCACCCAGGCTACGCGAAATTGGCATTTGCCTAAACAATAGTGATCATCTATCAGGTAAGTCTGGATAGTTGCTTTGATGGGCATTTCATGCAACCATTCCCAGACTTATGGGGCATTTGCTTTGATACCTGCTGGAGTTATATAGGCAGGGCTCAGTCCACAAAAAGTCATGGGGCCTTTTCTTTAGGAATATAGTAATAATTACACATACAGCAAATATTGTCTTTGTAATTACGTAAAGGAAATTAAGCGAGCCACCACTTCTGTGATGTCATGTGTTATGCAGATATGATGGCGCCAGTGGATCACAAGTTCCAGAAAGTTCAACCGCCCCTTGATAGATGGTTGTAAGACCCTGATGGAAATGGTTTCTTTCATTCCTCTTGACAAAAAAAAAAAACAAAAAAAAAACAAAAAAAAAGACGTCACAGAAGTGGAATAAGCCCAATTTTGTGCTGGGAATCACAATTCAAGCTCGCCCCTTTGGCATCGCCAAAATGTTGTTTTGCTCAGAACAAGGAGGTTTAAAAAGGATTGAACCTCCTTGTTCAGAATAAAGTAACCAGCTGGCCATGGACACTACGCAATATTTTGTACAAGAATTGTGAACAGTGTGTATGGAGGATTACAAGCTATATTGGATTTTTTTCTGTTCTTGTATAGCTTTAAGAGACGAATAATAGTAGTGCTCAGTGTCAGCCCAGTATTGTCAAAATTGTTGGAAATATGTGTATGACCCTAAGAGACCTAAGACTGTGCCACGGTTAACAGCAGTGGAGATAAGAAGTTGCAAACATCTTTATTCTACAAGTGTTTTGTTCTAAAAAGAAATAAGTAATTAGTTCTTATTGACGCAGTATTTTACGCTATACTGGACTATAATTATAATGTCTCTCAACGTTGCCTACTGAGGAAAAAGGTTAAAGCTGCATTATGTAACTTTTTACGCAAAAATTTGAAATATTCTCATTATACTAAATTTCAGTGTCTACGGTATTTTACAACAAACCAGGTTATACGGGTTCATTTTACACTAATATCATTTCCTTTTTTTCTGTATTGTGGCATATTCCCTGACAAGGTGATCACCTAACAGTACACTACAATTCACATTGTTGTTTTGCTGTGTTGAGTATTTTGATGTGCATACGACGTTTGTGACGTTAATACCTCTGTTCTACTGGAACATGGCGTAGTAAAAAGTACATGAAAACGAAATCACAGATTATTGTCTACATATCAATTCTTAGCTTACTTATACTCGACGGGAACTTCTTTTGTACAACTTTTGGCTGCACATGATTCAAGCCCGAAGAAACCATGCCCAAAGGATGTGTCACTTATCCCATGGTTCTTTGTGCAAATATTCACACGACTGTTCAAGAAGTCCGATCTGTAAACGGTAAGCATGACGTCACGTCCGGATCCTACTCCGGAATCACCTCCAGTTCCGGAATCATCTCCAGCTGTAACCTCCTGTCCTGCAGCGACCAGTGTCTCCACGCGCACCGGAAACATTTCTGGTGCCTGCGAATTTCCCAGCATTCCCTGTCGTCCATGGGTTTCCTGATTGGCGCGCCGCACCTGCAGCAGTTGACCCGGATGTTGACGGTGCTGCGGCACCGCTGACTGCAGGGCGTGTTCGGGTGGTGCACGTCATCACACGGGTGGCCGCAGGGGAGGAGCTTCTTACACGGGACAGCTGGAGGGAGAAGGTGGATGCATTTGTTTATAAGCTTTACCATCACAACACAACTCTAAAGTCCACTGGTGAAATAGCTATGAGAAGACTCAAAATGATATAAACTACGGAGATGTCGATATTAGAAAAATATCTTTATCTAAAGCACATTGTACATGTATAGGGGCCTTTTACACTTCAAATTTTAAAATATCCTTATCAGATTTCATATAGGACTGTCAAACTTTACGTAAGATATTACGCCATATGGATTTAGAAAAATACCCAGCCCCCGTTTTAGACTATAGCTATTAGTATGCTTGCACGTTTTCTGGTCATAACAATCAAACTATATAACTTCCATCAAAACAAAAAAAAAGAGTGTTCCAGAAAGTGTACTTTTTCAAATGCTGTTTAGGATATCCGACAATTGCACATACGGATGGATGGAAAAGAAAAAAAGCAAGCTCCGCCCCTGAGGCGTCGCCAAAATATCGTAGGCATTGACAAAATAGCGAGAACATTCGTAGCTCGTCCCTAATATAATCCAGGCTTACCTCTTGTCTCCTCAATAGTGCCAATCACCACCGAGTCTAGAGGCTCATGGGACGGCAGGAACGTCAGGTGCACCAGCTGGTCCGTGACGTCATCGACGTTGGGCAGGTCAGCTTCCAGCAGTGACGTCATCCTCTCCTCTATCTCTTTGCTCACGTCCATCATCGCAAAGTCGTTGCCGTGTGACAAGACCTTCCTGGCAAAGTCCAGCGAACTCTTCAAGCTCGCCAACGTCGTGTCCAAGAAGTCCTCGTGTATGTTGAGTTCCTTTTCGCGACTTGAGACGATTTCACTGAGCTTCTTCAGCAGCAGCTTGTGCTGCTTGTCGATCTTCCTCTCCACGCGCTGCTTGAGCTTCTCCGTCGCCGTCGCTAGCTGGCGCTTCACCGCGGCCTTGTTCTCTTCCAAAGTGAGCGACGTCTTGGCCAGGGCGCTTTGGACAACCTTGATTTCGTGGATCCGCCCCTCGCTGAGAGAGGAAAGCTCCGTGAGGACGTCTTTCGTGTCGTCCACGAGTTCAGTCAGGTAGACGTACTCGTGCTCTGGTTCTCTGTGGTCGATGACGGTACAGTCGTGGCACACAGGAATCCTGACAAGGGATAAAGGAGCATTATGCAGCATTTTTCACCAAAAAAACGAAATATTTCAGTTGAAAAAAATCTTCGTGTCATTGTAATTTACTTCCACTTTTCAATATATTTCCCCTATTATTTTGTATTTCTAACATTTATGGTTTGCGCTAGAACAGCGCAGCCCACATGATGCGCACTCAGTTTGTGGTACCACCCCCAAACTACCAGATAGAATGTAAACAAACATGGATGTGTTTCCAGTTTTAGACACACTTATAAAGAGCCATACTATGGCACCTTCACTCCCTTAATGTCATTGAGGAAAAATGTCACCCCAATGTCATTTTTGTTAATTTGCCAAACAATCTACCCGCTGCCCGTGTCCCTCCCCCTTCCGGTCAGTCCCCTCTCACTTCCGCCCACCACGGCCCGGACACATGTGCTCCCGCCGTCACCCCTGACACTTGGACAGAGCTAGGCGAGGACGCACACGTGGCCCTGGCCTCGCTCTCCCCTCTATTACGCGAACAAGCCAGCCGCACAAAATGGGCGGCCTTCGCAGACGGCACCTGGGCGAACTTACGGACCATTCTCCGGACTTTCTTGTTGTTCTGTACATTCTACTGCATCCCGCCATTTCCGGCATCGGTTGACACGCTAGAAACATACGTAGAGTTTCTGGCTCGGTCGTTCCAGGCACCGGCTTCCATCGGAAACTACCTGGCTGGACTTAAGACACTGCACATCCTCTTCGGCTACGCAACGGACGCTTTCCTGACCACGGACATCACGCTGTTGAAACGCGGCTTGCAGCGACGGATGGGCCACACGCCGCGACAAGTCGCCCCGTTCACACCGGAGGTACTGCTCCAGATCTATGAACATTTGGACATATTCAGAGACCCTTTCCATGCCACTATCTGGACTTTACTTTTACTGAGTTTCTTTACATTCCAACGTAAGTCTAACTTTTTGCCGAAAGGTAGGTTTGATCCTGCTAAGCAATGTACCGTATCTGACTTCAGGCTTTACAGCGACTCAAATTATGTTTGTACGTATTCGATGGTCCAAAACGATCCAATGTGCAGAGCGTGTATTATACATTCCAGTCCTAGCGATACCCAACTCCCCTCTGTGTCCCGTTTCTGCATTTAGACACATGCAACGGCTACATAGTTCGTATAGAGGACCCGCCGTGTTTATTGTACGTCGTTCTGCTCGCTTCGTTCCCTTGACTCAAGCCGTGTTTGACAAAGCTTTCAAATGTATTCTTGAGCGTGCGGGCCTGAACCCACATCTGTACTCACTACACAGTGGGCGGCGCGGCGGGGCCACATTCGCCTTCCGCGCCGGGGTGCCCGTCGAGCTAATCAGGTTGCAGGGCGATTGGCGCTCGAATGCCTATTTGCTCTACCTAAAAGTCCCTCTCCGCACACGGCTTGAATTGTGCACGAGGATGATCAGACGTATCCGCCCTGTGCTACCTAAAAGTCCCTCTCCGCACACGGCTTGAATTGTGCACGAGGATGATCAGACGTATCCGCTCTGTGCATTAGTAGCGAACTATCTAGTGTAAATATTTCTCCGCATTATTTTTTTCACATGTTAGTAGCGTGTAGTCATGTTTTCTCTGCCTTTTATTGTTTATTTACGCACAATGGCCCGGCCGTTCCTTGTTTTCATGCGTGGTCTGCTGCGGCCTTATTTTGTTTCATCAGTGGACACGTCCGTGCATTATGTTCTATCAGTAGTTAGGTTTATGACAGGGGTAGATGGGTGGTGGTGTCGCTTCGCTTCTCCTCGCTTTGCTCCGCCTGAAAGTTTTTTCCTTGTTGTTTATTTATTTTTTATTTTTATTTTTTTTTGCTCTTTCTCTTCTCTGCGGAGCGGTTTGGCCTTATTTTTGGCATGTTTTGGACGGGAAAGTCCGTGAATAAATTTCCCCGCTCTTGGCCAAACTCGCCTCCGTCTTCACTTGTTTTCAGAGCTAATTGAGGAAAAATGTCACCCCAATGTCATTTTTGTTAATTTGCCAAACAATCTACCCGCTGCCCGTGTCCCTCCCCCTTCCGGTCAGTCCCCTCTCACTTCCGCCCACCACGGCCCGGACACATGTGCTCCCGCCGTCACCCCTGACACTTGGACAGAGCTAGGCGAGGACGCACACGTGGCCCTGGCCTCGCTCTCCCCTCTATTCTCAACCCACCACCACCCCCTACTCCTGCCACGGTTTTAAATAGAGACGTTTATCAGTTCCGTTTTCTGCGTTACGAAATTTCTATATATCATTGTCTGTATATTTATGTCTAGATGCTGTATTGGTTGGCATGTTTTGGACGGGAAAGTCCGTGAATAAATTTCCCCGCTCTTGGCCAAACTCGCCTCCGTCTTCACTTGTTTTCAGAGCTAATTGGAGTAGATTAGATCTATCTTACATTGTGAAGAAATGACCAGAAATTTACTTTTTGTATCGCTCTAATGTTATATAATGCAGCTTTAACAGTTTTAGTGTTTTGTTTTGTCTTGTTGCGTCAATCTGTACTCTGTACTGTACAAATTCAACAACAAACAAGTAAAAGAAAAAAGTATACTGAAAAAAGCTCACAAATGTAACAATAGACAAAGCCCTATTGTTATTTTCAAGGACCACATATATTGCCCACCTGCACGTCGTGCAGAAGAACCTCATGACTTGATTGTCGTGTTTCTCGCACAAGGGAGTCTTGGCGTTCTTCAGCGGCGCTTCCGTCTTGGAGGCCCGGATGGTGTCCAGCGCCACCAGGCAGTGGTCCCGGGTCAGACGGACCCGCTTGTGAGCTGCAGTACAAGATAGTGATAGTGCTTCTTTCTTACATTTGCCAAGAGGGCAATAAGTTTTCGGAAATAATTTTCCTATCATACCTTAAGAAGCCATTGGTGGATTCTTGTGAACCTTGGTGTGTAGGTGGGTGTCAACAGAACACTGACGTCGATAATGGGCCACCTAGCGACTTTCTATGGTACCGGTTTTGTATATCATCGGGCTATCCTTGAACTGGATCCTCACCACACACTCTAACGCCCCAGGGTACACAACTCTCTTCTAACATACGTCTACTGACATTTGTGTTCACCTTTTGTTGCTAACAGTTCAGTGAACCTTCTAATCTCCAAGCAGATCTTTCGGTGGCTGAAAGACGGTTGTATAAATTGGCTAGGCAGTATCCATATGCCAAGCAGTTATCGTTGGGTCGTCATGAAAAAAGATACCAGCAGTACTAAAAAGAAAGCCCGAGAAAAACACCTGGGGTTGTGTGGCGTAACGGCAGAGCATCAATTAGAACCAAGAGGTCCCGGGTTCAAAACCTGTCAAGTCACCAACCTTGTGCATCAGGTGAAAATGAGTATGGCAGAATGATCATTATCATAGTCGTGGGCATTAAAGAACAAACAAACAAACAAACAAACAAACAAACAAACAAAAACGTCTAAAACACGCCCGAACCTCTGCTTTGAGAGTCACAAACATGCCCCTCACCATTGACGCAGTCCGGGCACAGGAACTCGTCGCACGTCAGGCAGCGGGCGGACGCCGCCTCGGGGCTGTCGTTCTCCGCGCAGTTGTTACACATCACGTCCTCGTGTTTACTGGAAGGGAAACGATTCGTGTTTAGACAGATTATATAACGAAGCTCGATTTACCCGTGGGAACGCCATTTCTCTCTCAAGGTCACCATGACTCAAGAAGCCACTTTTGGGCATGATTAAAATAACATACTGAAGCACCAACCGTATGATTTGGTTAGCCACACTCGATCAAGCATTTGATTGCGCAGTATCTGCAATAAGACTTACAAGTAGATATTTGGACCATGTTCAATTCGTTGCAGGCCCTATTGAAGAGATGTTGTGTTCTACTGCCTGCCATTGTCTAAACAAATATCGCTGATAAAATGAAAACCCGTTGTAATTCTGTGTGGCGATTATTAAACGCGGTTCATGTTGTTTAGAACATATCGCAGAGTGTACATAGCATGCGTGTACCTGTGGATTTTCCTGTATATGTCCACGGTGTCTCGGAGACTCTCCACGAAGAAGTTGTCCTTCAGTCTAGTCACGCCCCCCTCGGGCAAGCAGGTTGCCGTCCGACATGTTGGACAGAACAGTCGGCTCCTCTCGCCGCGCTGTTTCTCCAGCGACTGTTCCAAACACTCCAGACAGAACGTGTGCAGGCAGGCCAGGACTTTGGGCGTCTTGTACGGCTCGTAACAAACCTTGCACTGCAAGAAGTCGTCTGAAATCTGACTGAGAAGAGAGGAGGACGCCATCGTGTGGGTGACGTGGGGTCGTTCGCAATGTCGTCCTGTATCTGGGTCTGTCTCGGCACGCGTGAGTGTGAGCTCGTCAGGTCAGTTGTACGGACATGCCTGGAGGCTAGCGGCTGTAGTATAGTCATTCTTACAGCAACAAACTCTGTTTACTGACGTATCTGTATCTGCAGAGCCGGTATAACCACAATGCGCCGTAACACACCAGCTTTGCAGGCACGCGGCGCGGCGGTAGCTAGCTATATTACACCGAATGACCTGTTACACTCAACACTTTGCGCACATTTAGGAGTTGTTTAAAACGTTCTAGTGATATCGATGATGCCCCAACTGTACTTGGCGACAGTGAGTTCCACTCCACGATAGTTCTAGGAATATACGAGTTTTTGAACACCTCAATTCTTGGTTGATAACCCTGAAATTTGAAGGCACGACTGTTTCTTGTTAATTTCTTAGTATAATCAGTCTTATCCTTGTAGTAGGGCTTATTTTTCGAGTATCAAGCAATCTGAACAAAATTTTCTACATGTTTGAGCTCACTTTATTCAGTTCAAAACATCTTATCTGGAGTTCACGGACTGCATGTTTGAGACGTCTATTATATATACGGTCTAACTTTAGGGAATCCAATTCATACATTAAGTACATATCTGTCTCGTGGGAAACAATGTATATGAATGATTTACTAGTATTTCGAAATCCACGTAACATTGTCTCAAACATGGCAGGCAAGACGGCTGAATATTGTCAAGATATTACATTAGAATTGGGACATATATATAATAGAACATTCAAAATAGTAATTACACATTATATTAGATAAACGTTAAAACAGTATTTGCCAGGATGTATCTGTATCGGTATAGCCGGTATAACCGCCCTCATGTAACACACCAGCTTCGCAGGCACGCGGATTGGCGGCAGCTGGCTATATCACACCAAACGGCTTGTTACGCTTAATCTTTGCGCATTTGATTGCAGGAGTTGTTTAAAGCTTTCTAGTGATGATGCCCCAACTGTGCTTGGTGGCAACGAGTTCCAGTCTACGATAGTTCTGGGTAGGGCTGCGTACCTTTTCGTAACATCAGGTCCGGACCTGTACCTGTACCTGAAAATTCACGCGCGTCACATGTTCTACTGAAATTCTTCAATAATGACAGAAACATGAATTAAGTGTTGACAATTTGTCAAAGAACATCATTCAAAGAACATCAAATATAACCATGGATGATATAACTAGGTTTCCTATCTCACTTCTCAATAGTTCTCAGTCACCCTCTTAGTGACCCACACTTACTGAACTTGGGACAAAACGTCATAAATTGCGTAAATCTCTTCATTTTAACGCTGGATGTTCATTTTCTTGGCAGGCCTCCTTGTGTGTAGTGATCAAGTATGAATTTTTGTTCCGGTCCAAAAAAAACCGGTCCACCGACGTTTCGGTTTTTTCGGACCGGACCGATACTATTTTTCCGGTCCGTACCGGTCCACCTGGACCGGTACGCAGCCCTAGTTCTGGGGAAATACGAGGTTTTGAATACCTCAATTCTTGGTTGATAACTCTGATATTTGAAGGCATGTCATGATCAAATAAAAGGTGGAGTACTTGATATGACAAGTTTAAAAAACATCAGTGTAATTATTATCTTAAAGGCTTAGGCGATAACAAATGGTCTAGAGCAATAAGATATTAAGTCACATCACAGTGAAAGTAAAATATCGTATCAATATAGTCTGATCCAAACTTTCATAGTCTACTCGCTACAAATAAATGCAATTGAAGTAAACGTATTACTAGTATTCGGAAAGAACATTTATCACATGCCCCATACGTTACACCACCTTCGATGTTGGCCATGGCATTTTCCACAACTGCCGCCAGGAGTCGCTTTCACAAACAATAGTTGAAAGACAATTCCAACGAAATATTCGGATATTCGTATGTCTTATTTCAACGTAGCTTTTTTTTAACTTGGTGAAAACATTTAAATTAAACTTAAAATATCTAATAACGGTTTTTGTCCGTGTAAAGAAAAAGTACTAATTAAAACAATTATCAGGTACGTAAGAAATTACAACATCGTTTGTCCATATCTACGTTGAACAATGTATGTAATTCAAATAAATCAGCAAATAGAGTTACTAGTAAATAAGACCACTCATTCAAATAGCCCATATTCAAATACTAGTAGTACATAGTATCTGAGAAATGTTCCTTGGTTAACGTTGTTTCGCATTGTCTATTTTAAAAATCATGGATATAAAGCGGCAGGTTTAAAGCACGCGTCATCCATGTCATCACACCATATGACCCCTCGGTTGAACTCGAGTAACCGTCCATTACCATTACCCATAATGACCTGCGATGTAAGAGGTCGTTCACTGTACGTTGTCCTTGTGTGACCCTGACAGGAGGGTTTGACTGTTCACGTGCCTAGCATCTATAGGTTACAGCAAGCTTCATGGGGGTCAAAATGTAGCTGTTCCACTAACAATCTTACAGTACAGGACAACTCCAAGTACTAGTAAATCTATATATTTTTTCGAGGAAGCGAAGAGTTAAATGCTGAGATTGTGCCGGATTCTTACATCTGCTTGGAGATTAACGGTGAGAGAGTGGATCGTGACAAGGGGGTACACCAGGGCAGAATGGTGCATGCCGGGATGACATCACCCCAGCACCGTTATGATGACCTGAAATGAACTCGCTCTTGAAATCACTCGGGGGTTCTTTGTTCTACAGATATATATTGTACTCACGTTTGTTGACATTAATGATTGTGCAATACATTCTGGGAGAGAAAAGGCATAAAGGATAGACGCTGTGTTGTGCCTCTGAGCGAAACTTGTGACTGCTTGTCAATGGACCCAGGCCCAATATAATAACATTCGCAGTATTGTGCTTGTAAGTATATATTGTACTGTATTGATGATTGTGCAATACATTCTGGGAGAGAAAAGGCATAAAGGATAGCCTTTGTGTTGTGTTGTGCATCTGAGCCTGTTGAAACTTGTGACTATTCCTCAAGGGACTTAATATATAAAAGAACATTTCGCAGTAATTCTATAATCACATAACGACTCGACAACATCACTGCCTACTGAATAAATACGTCACTAGTGATTAGGTCATTACATCCGGGTATTTGTCGTGACGTCACTCCCAATCAATGAATATATATGATAAACATCCTTTTCTCTTTTACATCGCCGCATTAAAGCACTTCAGTTTTTATGAACGTAAATGAATATGTTCCAAATCTTCTTTTCTTGTTTTTGTGTAATTGAGAACGAAAGGAACATCGACATAGATTATTTTTTATGTACACTATTGTTTCATTATTGTTATTGTTCATTTTGCCTATGTTTGAATTATTATGCTAACAATTCCTTATGTATGTATATATTATTTCATATCAATTTCATTTCATCTCAATTTATGTATACTACTGTTTCATGATTGTTAACTACTGTTTCATGATTGTTATTGTATCATTTTGCCCATGTTTGAATTATTTTGATAACAATTCCTTATGTATGTATGCCTTATTTCAATTCAATTATGTTTACTTTTGGTTAGTATAGAGGAGGAGGGCTTAGCATAAGCTAAATAAGCTTTTTCCCTCCTCTTGCACCTGTTTTATTCATTATTAATTTATTATGTATAAATTGTATTGCTGTTGTGCAAATAATAAACAAACAAACAAATGTAAATGAAGGCCTAATTTGCACGATTAATGGAAATTGTAGTAATTTCATAGTGGTAACTGCCGGGAATACATACTTAGCGCATTTGGTTAAGTGAAGGCTAACGTTAACATCAATAAACATAATTTATTCATATCATGGCCTTATTTGCATAACTCATGTGCAAGAAAAGCCTTTTATGTTAAGATAAAACTGCCAGAAGAGATTAACTGATATGATTTATGATTGATATGACATGAGGATCTTTTGTTCATAATCAATGAGAAAAATACATAACGTTACACTTCGTCAGTCGAAACGGTTAACATCATTTGGCGTCGTGGAACTCTTGTGGTTATTGTTCTTGAGTGGGCCGGCTACTCTCTCCTTGCAGCCAAGGGCTGAAATATGATTGGTGGAGCTGAATTGCAAGGGTCTGGAGCGGCTGCTGACTGTGACTCATGTGAACATTGTCTTCTACATTCTCGTAACCATTGTAAGTGAACGTATTGCTATGACATGAAGCAAAGACAGAACAGTGCGATTTACGGCGACGTTTCCTTAGGTTTACACTTTGTAAAACGGCCGCTGGAGGGCGCCCCTGTGCGTTCTCGTAGATGTGCGATTAATTTACCATAGTAGTTTGATAGTGACTTTCAGTAGTCTGGGTGTCAACCGATTTCATACGGACACCTTACACTCGCTGGCTGAAAAATCTGTACAACTAGATTTTCAGGGCCTTTATTAACTACCAAATCACCACTTCTTTGCCACTTCACAAGTTAGCGGAAAAAAGATGGAGAACGTCAGTCGAGCTCACTAGGAACCTTTGTATACAAATAATAATCACAGTAAACGGACACATATATCAAGAACGATGTTACGGTCGTCGTGTATCCCTAACGTTACCGTAGTTATATTATACACATGCATAATACATGTAACGTTACAGTGTTCCAGCACCTGTCCTAAGTTCCGTACAACAAGCGACTTGGCAAGGGTACAAGTTACATTATTAACGTTACTTGTATAAGGACAGAACAGTCACATATTGATTCCAGTTTGTTCCTTCCTGAAGAGAGGGGAGGGGAAGTGATTATCACTGGTGATAATTTGTGTGGCTTCCTGAAGAAAGGGGAGCCCGGGAAGTAATTATCACTATGGTGATAACAACAGGACCCTTTATATCGTTGCAGTTTGTGTGGCTTCCTAATGAGAGGGGAGGAGAAGTGATTATCACTATATAATGGTGATAACAACAGGACCCTTCATATCATTGCAGTTTGTGTGGCTTCCTAATGAGAGGGGAGGAGAAGTAATTATCACTCTACTGATAACAACAGGACCCTTACATATATATTTATATACTGGTTTTATTCAACATCTCCAATGATACAAAATAGCAGGGCTCCCTTATGAGGGTCCTGAATTCATTTGCTGTACATTCACAATTTGTTTGTCCACTAATGGCAATATATGTTGTGACTAACAATAGTAAAACAGCAATTAAACTCTGTCCGTCAGCCTACTGTAGTATAATTAACACACACTGATTACACAATGATTAAGCCTAGTAAATAATAACACACACTGATTAAGCTCTTTCAGCCTATTTAAAACAAACACTGGTTAAGGTCTTATAATTTATAATCCATCAGCCAAGTTGCTAAAAAGTAAATGATCAAAGTCACTTTAGTTAAACCTTATAAACTGACTACAGCTTTTAGCTTCACTTACCCAATCCATCACTTAATCAGTTTAGCTTCAATTCCTTAATCCATAATCTTTTAGCTTCACTTTCCTAATCCATCACAAGATGATACACTACATGTATTTACAGTATGTACATGTTGAATTCACAGTATACACTATTAGTCATGTACTTGGGAAATTCCCTGTCTGCTTTAAACAGCACAGTGAACAAGGAATAACAGCACAGCATTCAGGCCTAAAAGCCCACCTCATGAGTAACTTAAAGGCTGGTAAAGTCATGTTCTGATAAACACTGTAACAGTACTGGCTAAGTATATTCAAACTACAGAACAGAGCTTCAAATCTGTATCTTGGAGCCTTCAGTACAATGTACAAGCTTTTTGTTTTAGAAAGCTTTAAGCTTTTGGATTATGATAATACATATCAACAGATGTAAAATGTGTCAGACATTATTGGGTGGTGTCTGAGTGTTATGGACCTGTCTAATCATCAGGCATCATCATTGTGATGCTGCATCTGCAGCTGGTCATGACCACCGGTTACAGTAGCCGTGGTGTCTGTACTGTTGTACACAACACCAGGTGTGGTGTCTGTACTGTTGTACACAACACCAGGTGTGGTGTCTGTACTGTTGTACACAACACCAGGTGTGGTGTCTGTACTGTTGTACACAACACCAGGTGTGGTGTCTGTACTGTTGTACACAACACCAGGTGTGGTGTCTGTACTGTTGCGCACAACACCAGGCTCTGGGGCAACAATAGAACGATTCCTGGACCACTTCTTCCAACAGATTGTTAGAAGGATGCAACCGATGAGGACAATGGCAGCTGCTGTGCCAACGATAGTGGCAATGGGATCTGGATCAGATTCAGGTTCTTCAGAAGGTGAAGAGTTGAAAAGAATGGGTACAGAGAAAGTGGGATCAGATTCTGTCTGATCTGAAGGTGTAGAGCTGGTATTGACTGGTGGGGAGGAAGTGGGAGAATGTGCAACATGATGTTCTGAAGACGTAAAGTCAACAGGTACAGAAGAAGAGAAAGAGGAAAAAGTCTTAGACGATGCAAGGATTTCTGAAGGTGTAGAGCCAATAGGTGCAGAAGAAGCAAGATTGCTGTTGCTTGTGGGATGGGTTGAAGTACCAGTGGTTCCTGTAGAGAGTGATGGTGACACATTGAATGTTGTAGTAGTGCTGAGATGGACATTCACAGAGAGTGTGGCAGATGCAGAGCCAGCCGGGTTGGTTGTGATACAGGTGTACTGACCAGCATCTGCTGCAGTAACACCTGAAATGGTGACTGTAGCTGTGGTATTCTTCACCTCCACCCTCCCTCCTGGCTCAGCAGTTGTATTCAGTCCAGATGGGAGGGTGACTGTGATGTCTGGTTTAGGCATACCTGAAGCTTCACAGACCAAATGGAGAGTCTCCCCCTGTGCCAATGTGTCATTGTCAACCCTGTGAAAGCTTAGAATGGTTGGCTCTGTACATTTTAAATCTTCAGGATTGATATCTCTCAGTTTTTTCCCTTGGAACATATCGGGTTGGGAACAAATTATCTGATATTCAAATGAACGAGACCCACTCATCTTAAGGAGAAAGGGAAGCATCCTACAGTCACACCACCAGGGGTTGTGCCGAAGGTATATTTGAGGGATTGATGACAGCATGGAATAGGCTGAGGGAAGTGTCTCCATCTGGTTAGAGTCCAAGCTCAACCTTCTAAGCTGTGGTAAACCTGAAAGTGCACCAGGCTGAATGGTTTTTATCTTGTTGCGAGACAGGTGCAACATCTGCAGCTTTGGTAGATTTGTGAATACACCCTGCTGGATGTTAGCTATTTGGTTATGAGTCAGGTACAACGTTTGGAGCTGTGGTAGGTTTGTGAATACACCCTGCTGGATGTTAGTTATTTGGTTATGAGTCAGGTACAACGTTTGGAGCTGTGGTAGGTTTGAGAATACACCACGGTGGATGTTAGCTATTTGGTTATGAGTCAGGTACAATGTTTGGAGCTGTGGTAGGTTTGTGAATACACCCTGCTGGATGTTAGCTATTTGGTTACTACCCAGGTCCAATGACTGCAGCTGTGGTAGGTTTGAGAATACACCATTCTGGATGTTAGTTATTCGGTTATTACTCAGGTCCAATGACTGCAGCTGTGGTAGGTTTGAGAATACACCCTGCTGGATGTTAGTTATTCGGTTACTACCCAGGTCCAATGACTGCAGCTGTGGTAGGTTTGAGAATACACCAGGGTGGATGTTACTTATTTTGTTATAGGGCAGCCTCAACAATTGGAGCTGTGGTAGGTTTGAGAATCCCCCAGGGTGGACGTTAGTTATTTTGTTAAAGGACAGGTCCAATTGTTTGAGCTCTAAACCTGAAAATGTTATAGACTCAATGTGGTTGTTCATCAGATATAGTTTTCTCAAATTCCTATACTTTGAGAAAGTAGTTGAAGTAATGTTTGCAATGGCATTCCTCCTTAAGTCAAGGTGAATGATACTTGTTGGCAGATTCTGAGGAACAGCAGTGAGGCCTTTATTGGTGCATTTGCAGATGTTGTCGCTGTAGCAGTCGCAGACCTGGGGTGTGGCTGATCCCATTTCATTGAAGATGATGAAGAGAACAACCAGCAGGCTCTTAAGCTTGCCAGACATTTTATCTGTAGGAGACATAAACAAGTGAAAGTCCAGTTTTACATTGTAGAGTTAATCTCCCACTCTGGTTGTGACAGAAAAGGCATGCATGTGCATCTTCACAGATTCATTTTACTGGGGATATTCACAGATGTTTTTGATAATTGCAATGAAGAGTGGATTATGGCTTAATGTCCTGCCCTAATTAAAGGAAAAATAAAAGCAAGTAACTATTTTCAATAAGCAAGCAATTAATTGCCACAACAATTGATTTGTATATGTTTGTTAGTTTTGAAGGAATGGTACTATTTGGTTGATTTTTCCACTTTCTAGATTATTGGGTTAGCCTGTTGTTGAGAACACTTCAGATCTGTAAAGCTTCAAGAATAATAACAGTACAGCTGTAGTCATTAAAACTTGGTAATTAGGGGGACTTTGGGATTTTTCTCACCCAAATGACTGCCCACTTCCAAATGTGGTGTGAAATTCCAGAGTCAGTTACCACTTATAATGAAATAACAGTATTTTCTCATGAATTATGTAAAATAGCAATTCATATAATATGTAATCAATGTCTGTCGATATTCCTGTCATTCTCAATGACATAATGTCATATGTGACAATCATGTTTGATTAGTCCTAACTAGGAACACAGCTGATTTGTAAATTATACAATTTCCTCAATAACTAGGCAAATTAGATGTTGTATAATCATCATTTAATTATGTCAAGCATCACCTAAGCTACATTGTAGATACTAAAAAGCAAGACAATCCGTCGACCTATTCTTGAGTTATCCCCGAGCAAGCTTTTTTTAAATAAATGCCCTAGCAGTTCCAGAACAAGAACAAAGCTATCTATGGTATTCAAAATTTAATAGTAAGGCTAACATGTCCAGATCACAAGCTAAAAGAAAATAACTTGCATTATAACTGTAATCTAGTACATGTACATATATTCTAGCAAACATGCAAGCCATTAAATCTTTAAAGTAACCAGTCCTCCATACCTTATTGGGTTATTCACAGGTGAGTGCTGTAGAACAAACTCTTCTGGGTGCTTCTCCCAAGTTGTGTCAGTCTGTCAAGGAGTACTTTACAATGAATTGGCCTCCCAAGCTAAAAAAGATCATGTTCATAGCATGAAATAGCAAAAAAGTCCCATTTTACACAATTTCAGGTGCTGTAATTATTGCCAAACAAACAATGTTCTGTGGGCATGTGTCCTAGGATCCCCCATACTACTCTCGATCCAAGAAGAGGTTTGGGTTTTGGGTTATTTTTGGCATGTTTTTAGGCTTTTTTTATCAGGGTTTCTTTTTTTGCACTCATTTTTTTTCACCCCAAGCCAACGTTGGGTTCGGGTGAAAAACAATTCCAGTGCAAAAAAGAAACCCCGATAAAAAAGCCAAAAATATAAATCCCTAAATCGTGACAAACTTATACTGTCTGTTCTTATGTATATAAAGTTTTAATAAATTAATATTAACAATGTGTTAAGGTCAATTATAGGACGATTAACTGAAATGCCAAATATTATAATTGTAAGCTTGACTGTTGTATCAATATATGTTGTTTTCCCGAAGATTCTACATCCCCCAGAAATTTCACAACAGTGGCAAAAAATATGTAAAGGTGTTTCTTCTTTTAAATTACAATAGGAACATAACAAGTCCTCTGCTAAATTCCATCTAAAGTATATAACTTGTTTTTGAGAGCAAGAAAGTATACTGGAATGCTGTTACATAGGAGTCGTTTTGGCCAGACTTACTGCAGCTGTGTGTAGCTAATGGCAGGTTTAGAAAAGGTAAGCCCTCGCCTCAATACAATAAAAAAAATACTAAATACCATCTTTTTTCACAACTCAAAGAATCTGACACTGATAGATATGATAGATATAAAATGATGACTTACCGAGAAACAGTGTCCTAAAGAAAGTTTTCTGTATCCAGACACAAGCTCCTGTAGATTGTTCTTAGAAGTCGTCCCAGTCAAGCCAAGGAAGTCCTGTGGCGTGTTGTACCTGGTGTGTCCAACTGTACAACTGTGCGGTTTGTTCCCCAGCTAATATTATATATATATGCTCACACAGTTTCTGCTCCCTCAAGTGAGTAGAATTAGATTTTAGCTTGTTGTGATTCTCCATGTTCCAATGAGTCAGACTCTAGGCTGTGAGTTTAGAAGAGATGAAAGTCAAGTTCTGATGTTGCCATACCAAGTAGGCCGCGTAGCTAAGGTGAGTAATTATTGCTGCGTTTTCATTAACGTACAAAGCCACATGATTTGTAACTGATCATTTTGACGGAATGGTGAAGATTATCGTAATCCTGATTGCGTAGAACCCTTTGTAGCGTGTGATTCACCATGGCTCTGGTTACCAGTTACTCTGAAATCCTCTTGGCAACAACTTTTTCTTGGTTTTCTGACCTTTTCAAGCGAATATAATCATGGTAAACTCAGACATGTTAGAAATATAAATAGCAGGCTGGGAGGAATACTTCTATCTGACTATATTCATCCCCAGGAACACCCCTACGTTCCAATATAGGATCAGGGTTGTCAGAACATAGGCCTGGGGTAGATGTCAGTGTTAGAATATGACAGTGTCAGAACATGGTGACATTGGAACATGGGGGTGTTGGAACATCGGGGTTGGACCGGGACGTGTGGTTATAACCTACATGTATGGGGGAGGTTCATGTAGCCTCACTCCCAGAAGCTGTATACAGGCACAGACTTTTCCCTCAGACATAGACTGAGACTGCTTTCGTATCTTAAGGCCAGATCCGTACTGGTATTTTTGAATCCGAAAAGCAGCCAATTAAATTGATTTGGCCATAGCAAGAATGTTGCCTAATTTTGCCAAAGAATTTAATAAGTGATGCAGATAGAAAGCATTGGCTTGGAAAAAATCCTTTTTGTTTGAAGTCAGGCCTGAGGATTTACTGGTAACCATGAAAACAAAACAAAACAAAACGGCAGGATTTAAACTTGGAATATTAAAATAACTCTTCTTAGTGAGGGTAGTCAGTAAAAGACACAATTAAGAAAGTGATTTCTTCTATATGATACATGTGATTGTACTTGAACTTGAACAGTTTGAAAAAGGTACCAACAAAGCCAATAGAGATGTCAGATTACTTTGTCACAGTAGTTTAGAAGTGGATGCCCCTTTGGGAAAAAATGGCAATTATGCATGCAAACACACACTCCCACCAACACACAACTCAAACACATACACACATTTTCAGATGAGTCCAGTGAGGAAATGCCCCAACCCAAAGCAGGTTTTAGACTGACTTTTGATATTTGTGAATTATTATCCTGACATGCATGTTCTGTAAATACATTTATGTCCTACCTGGGCCGCGATTACGTTCGATACGGGTGTTCCGGCCCGTGTGATAACTAGCGGTACGGCCCGGGGGTTCTTAACGCGTACGGCCCGGGCCTTCCAAATGTTCCATAGAACGATTCGAACGCGTTTCGCCCTAACCGCGTGAACCGCTTTCGAAAATTTGAATGCAAACTTCGGACGTTGGAATTGATGTTGTTGCGTTTTTTTTTTTGGTTTAGGGACACCAAATTTTCGCTCATTTCGCATTGAAAGGCATGTTTTCGTGGGTGGTTATGACATAAGTAAAATACAACACGGGTATTCCGCATCACTCTCGGATCGGATCGGATCTCCCTTCGGCCGTCGGGCGATCCGACGCGCGGTCGGGCTGTTACCTCGGGCGATACGGAATACCCCGTGTTGTATTCTATATGTATTGTTCTGTACATGTATGTGAATATGGCAGTATGACACATCTTATGAGCTGTGTTTGAACTTCTTAACTGATATTAAAAATGCATGTCCATTGATGTGTTGTTGATAACTGAGGTATTTCACTGCTTAGCTTCGGATCTGGCAGTTTCAGACTGTGAAAGACTAAAATCTTGTGCTCGATACAACAGCTGTTCAATCGATTTGTTCATGGCTTTCAAATTGTTATGTATCTGTACAAGAAGTGAAGCAAGGCAAACATCTCTTCCTTTTTTACACAAATAATGTGTTGGTAGTTTAATTTCTTAACAGTGTTGTGAATGGTGAAGTCCCTGAATGTGTAAGAAGACTTAGTAAGTACCTTCAAGTACATGTGTGGTCATCTCTAACTTTGTATGTCCTGAGCTATGATCACTGTTTCTTGACACTTCTTTACGATGCTAAACAAGTCCAACACACAAGGGTAGGTGAGGATCAAATTTTCAATGACCACTGTCACCTTCATCAGGATAAGAAATGACCATTACACTTCCGAACGTAAACCCACAAGAGTAATGGACACGTGACCTTATTCACACCAGACTTTACGGATATATACATTGTACATCAGCAAATATTGGTTACCCCTCTTATACTTCTTCTTATGATGCTTGGCTTTGGAAACCCCCTCTCTCTCACAAGACTTTACGGATACGTGACGTCAGCAATCGGTTACTTCTTGTGATGCTTGGCTTTTGACCCCTCCTGCTCTCTCCCTCTCTTGGCCCTCTGACGCTGCATGTACGCGGCATTGCTGTGTCTCTGCTGTACCCACTTCTCCCCGTGCTGTTCACTCCGTGATGTCGTTTCCCCGTCTTCCCTGGCCCGTCTCCTCTCCCTACGCTCCCTCTGCTGCTGCAGGTGGGGAGAATTGACCAGTTGTGAGGGCATGTGTAGGTGCAGGGGGTTCAGGGTGTCCACCAGGTCCAGGAACAGCCCTTTGTTGTTGTTGTTGATGAAGGCCATGGCCCTGCCACTGGAACCTAGTCTGCCAGCTCGCCCAATCTGTAACACAAGTGAGAAATTGATATATACATGGCCAGTGTTAGAAACACCCACCTGCAGTCTGTCTACATTTTGCAGAGACATTTTCAACATTGCAGAAGAAAAATTATGCAACCTGCAATTTTGCAGACTGAAAAAAAGTCATGCTAGGGGTTCAATGGTGTCAGCATAGCATTGTTTGAGACTTTTGTGTTTACTACCTACTCTCTATACATAATATACATATGTACTCAATTTTGAAATTGCATGTAAAATGTTTGCCAACATGCAATTTTGGATTTAGGTCTGGACCTGTAAGTGTGAATTTGCAGAGACAAAACATTAAGTAGTTACAATATACATGAATGTACAGTATTTCAACTCGGTGGCCTACTGCCTGTGGCCTCACCTGATGGATGTACTCATTGACCGAAGGAGGCATGTCAAAAACAATGACCAATCGGACCCTGCAGAGGTCCAGCCCCCTCCCCAGGACACCCGTGGCCACCACCACGTCCACCTCTCCTCTCAACAGGGACTCCAGGGCTGCTGACCGCTCCGACTGCGGCTTGTCTCCGTGCATGGAGAGGGCTCGTATGTTACATTTCTAGGACATCAAAACATGGGAGGGGTGATATTAGTTAGAAATTGTCATCAGTAACTGATTTCTGTGTTCTGATTATTGTTATACCAGTTCTCTTTACTACATTGTGTATCTATCAACAAATCCATAGTTCCAAACACAAGTTTTATATGCCAAAACTACATGGTCTCTGTACGAGGTGCAACATAATTTAGATATGCAGGATAGATGTAGGGATACAATTTTTATCACTTTGAGCATCTCTTTAAATATGATATTCAAAGTGGCATATTCACATGACATTGTATGTAATCTGGCAGGTATATGATAAGAGTAGATACAGTACAATGTAGTTACATTATGTACCTGTACATAATAGATAATACATGTACATACAACTGTTACATGTACACACATACATTACAGAAAGAAGGACTGGTAGCAATTTCAAATTACATCATAGTCACTATTAATGTATTCAGTAATCTTAAAACTAAGCTGCTGATTTACATAGACTAAACTACATTTATAAATCAGCAAAAAAACATCACTATCAAAACTGCCATGCTAAAGAGTAGCCTCCACCAATAGCCACCATGTACTCACCGTTTGCACAGCCTCTGCTAACAAGTCTGCTCCCATGCGTGAATCCACAAACACCAGTACAGGAGGCTGGTAGTGCCTCGGGTCCTGCAGGATGGTGAACAACATCTTCTTCTTGGAGTTTTCCTCCACCCACAGTATCGTCTGCTTCACTGAAGGGCTGGGGGTGCTGGCCTGTGTGTGAAGAGGGTTGACATTTTATTATAGAACATGTGTGTTACTGTAACTGTATATTGGCTATTCACATCACTGAATAAGCATTGAATCAAGAGCTGGCCTGAGCTGGAAATATGATTCTTTATGCTTTGATGTTCAATACCTTGTGTGGGGTCACTGGGGTGTATTTGTGGTGTAAATCTATGTTCATTGACTTACACTATTTTTAATGCAGATGCTATGAAAATGTTTTTGGTATTTTGGTGCCATATACAATGTACTTCAAAATCTACATACTGACCTGTCCCACCAGTACATAGACAGGGTTGTTGAGTATGGAGGCTGCCAGGACCTCTATAGACTGTGGGATGGTGGCTGAGAACATCAGGGTCTGTCTCTGGGTGGGAAGACTGTCTATAATCTCCAACACCTGCTGCCTGAAGCCCAGCTGTAACATGGTGTCCAGCTCATCCACAACTAACGTCTCAACACACTCCAGGGAAACATCTGCGGAAAGAATGAAATTATCATGTTTACAGTTAAAACTTTTGGCAGGGCTTTACCCAGCACCCGTTTCTCTATCGCTTGCAGGAACATTGTGGCATGTGACAGAAAAATGTTTGTAAACCAATCCGCCAACCTTGGCGGACAAAAAGAAAAACTTTGAAATATAGAAACATCAAATTTTTAAAGCACTACCAACGACCACTCTCAACCCCATGATTTGCCTCTCAAAATGTGGGAAACTACATTTTTAAAAGCTTGGAAGTCCAAAATTTGCCCACAGACTATAATTATAATAAAAATTAATATACCTAATAAAAGAGATCTAACGTTACATGTGTACACAAAACTTTGAAATGGCAAAGCACAGCTGCACTGACCTTTCCTGTGTAGGATGTCCAGGAGCCTGCCAGGTGTGGCCACCAGCACCTGTACACCCTGCTGCAGCCGGTGCACCTGCGGGGGGAGGGGCAGGCCACCTACCAGCAGGGCTGTCCTCATGTGGGGCAGACCTGACATTGGAGGATGAACACATTCAATCATGTCACACAGTTCACTAGTGGCTTCTGCTTCTCCAAACAAACAAAGTCAATGACCTGGATTAGACGTCTGTCACTGTGGTAACTGGTGCTGTAGCAGACACCCTGTGGTGTTGGATTACATTTTGTAGCAGGACAGAGTTGGAGAGGCTTCTCACCATAACAGCTAGATATGTACAAAAAGTCACGTATATGAAATACATTGTGTTTGAGTAAGAATAAACAGAGCAATAGTTTGTTGGACTAGAACATGTGAAGGTACTTTGTAGTTGGTACCGGTAATTGATATTCTTGACTGGATGTTACATGTCCTTGGGAAAGAAAGGCACTTAACATGACTTTGGATGTGTAGATAGGACCACAGTAGGGATAATATGGATTAAATCTGTGGACTGTATCTGACCTTTCATGAGTTGCTTGGCCTGGTCCTCTACTTGCATACACAGCTCCCTGGTGGGGGCTAAGACCAGGGCCAGTGGGCGTGTCCACCTGGGGTCTCTGCTACCTACAGCATCGGATACAGCTCGGAACACGTTTACTACTACTGGCAGTAGGAAAGCAGCAGCTGTATGTATGAGATTACAACAGAGACAAAGTTATGTTTTAAAATGCATGATTTACAGTACATACAGTACGATTTACATGCATAATTACCCAGTGTGGATTCATCTGTGACTCAGCTTTTGGGCTAAGATGCCATTGATGCAGGCCATAATGGACATACATGTACAAGAACAAATGAATTCAATTACACATTTTGCTTCTATATACATTTATGTCCTACCTGGGCCGCGATTACGTTCGATACGGGTGTTCCGGCCCGTGTGATAACTAGCGGTACGGCCCGGGGGTTCTTTACGCGTACGGCCCGGGGCTTCCAAATGTTCCATAGAACAATTCGAACGCGTTTCGCCCTAACCGCTTGCACCGCTTTCGAAAATTCGAACACAAAATTCCGTCGTTGGAATTGATGTTGTTGCATTGTTTGGGTTTAGGGACACCAAATTTTCGCTAATTTCGCATTAAAAGGCGTGTTTTCTTAGGTGGGTATGACATAAATAAAATACAACACGGTGTATTCCGCATCACCCTCGGTCCCAGCCCTCCCGCGGATCGGATCTCCCTCCAGCCTTCGGCTGTCGGCCGATCCGACCCGCGGTCGGGCTGGGACCTCGGGCGATACGGAATACACCGTGTTGTATTCTATATGTATCTGAGTGTATGTCAAACAAAAGTTTAAATGTAACATTATATAGATTGACTTGTTTTTGTTATTACTGATACAGTATTTATTTATTCTTGTATGTGTTATACAGGAAGGTGCTATATGATTATAACGTTAATGACCTGCCTGATCCTAGGTGCATATGGTGGGATAAAGCTTTGTCAGTTGCTATAACCACCGAATAAAACCACCAAGTGAGCATAGTGGTGGTTATAGCAACTGACTTTATCACACCATATACACCTCATTAACCCTTTTATTTGTTCTTTAATAATTCTTTTAATTAAAATTATTACTAATATTACTACTGTATTTGGACCCCTAGACACTCCTCCAGCTAGTGCTTCCAGTTTAAATAAAGGCACAAACAAACAAACTTAGTACATATCATATGTACACACTTTTCCCTGATCCAGTCGGTGCCGCTGCCATCACGTCCCTTCCCATCATCCCTGCAGGCAGCACCTGCATCTGAACAGGCGTCGGCATCTCGTACTTGGCCGCCGACATGTTCGCGCTGACCGTATCGTTCAACCTGCAGTGAAAGAACTCCAAGACGGGTTTAGGAACATCTTTCCCTCTCACGGCGATTCCGAGCTGCTTCCTGATTTCTTCGACCTGTTCACTACTCAGTTGTGATAATGTGGAGTGCTCTTTGTATAGATTCTGTGACTCAGAAAGACTATTGTCAGTTTCTTCTCTTTCTTCCCTACTCGATGATGCCTCAGGTTGAAGATACTGTTTTTTGTGGTGCACGAGGGCCAGGTGTTTGGCCTTGCACTCTAAACTACATACATCCCGGTCAGTCTGGTCACAGATGTACTCCCCGTATCTGCCGCAAACCACGCAAACCGGCTCCCCTTCCTCTGGCCAGCGCTGGTTCTTACTGAAGGACACGATGGGTTCATCTTCATCATCACTGTCATCCTTCTTTGACACACCTTGCTCATCTTCTGAACAGTCACCTTTCAGAGATGTTGAAGGGTCTATTTCAGCAGTGTTACCCTGTGGTAGCTCACTTCTTAACTCCCTGTCAAGGTTTTCTGAGGTACATGTTGTTGTGGATGCAACAGTGGATGAGGAGTTTGCTGTATTCTCAGATTGTGTTGTTGGATCTGTCTGTTGTTGTACCTTTTTGATAGGCAGTGGTTTTGGTTGAACAGGTCTGGTGGTCTTCTTGACGGACACAGATCTTGGCACAAACATGTCTGTAGCAGGACTGTGATGATCCCAACCTGGATCTTAATTTGATGAGTTAATTACCTGTGTGAAAAAAAAAAATGAATACTGAGTCACGTCCTTGATCACATTCATGCATTTATGGGCTCAGGATGTTATGTATCAGTCCACTCTTTAGTCTTTTAGTCAGTTATCATAATGGAAATCAACTTGATCAAGTTCAAATCAGTTTTATCCAGGAGCTTCAAACAAGCTTGAAACAGGCCCCTTGGTTTTATACATTTGAGCGTCAAACTCAAAGTTACATAATTTTTGGCAAACTGTAATGGGCACTAACACAGAGTTTACGATATTATCTATAATTTAGTAGGCATCACAAAAGACATGTAACTACAAAGATTACTTATATTGTCCCAAGAACCTCACTGTTCATCCACAAACCTGGCCTCTAGATCTGTAACGTGGCCTGTTCTGACGTTGTGAATCGTGGTTTTGGTTTCGTCCCAGCACTGGGATATGCCATCTGGCTACTACGAAGGGGAAAGTTTTTCCATTAACTTCATATTCAATCAATATCTACGCTTTTTATTGACATCGGGCTCACATAAAATTCTTCACTATTACTATTAAGTACCAAAATAGTAGTACTGTAATCTTAAGTTTTTACCTTGTAGTTGATAATTTTTATGATTGTGACATCTGTCACCCAAACCCTATTATGCGATAGTCCAGAATCTCCAAGATGGCTGCACCCGGAAGAGTCGTGCTACTGGCTTGCGGCTGTTTTAACCCCATAACCAACATGCACTTACGTCTTTTTGGTATGTAGTTTTTGTTAGAAACATTCAATAGCTTCATAAGCTCGTGGTGCTTTGTTTTAGTTTTGTTCGCGGTACCGATGGTTGTACCGTGTACCGTTATGGCCTGAGGTGGGGAGGGGGGCAACTGTTGAGGGTGATCCAGAGCTCTGTAGTCGAACATCAGGTTTTTCTCGTTCATGTGTAAGTCTAGTCTGTTGCAGACTGTCAGACTCGGAAGCCAGGAAGGGAGTGGCTCTGTCACGTTCTAACTTGGATAGTATACGTGTTTAATGCCCAACACATCTAACGTTACATAAGCCCAGTTACCAGTCTAGTATATTTACCTTCGCCAAGAAGGTTATGTTTTCAGAGGCGTTCGTGTATGTGTGTGTGTGTGTGTGTGTGTGTGTGTAAACACGATAACTT